CTCTTTTAATAAAAGGATTTGTTCTGTAAAATTTGGATTCAGTCAAAAGGCCGCCATCAAGGATCCAGAAGACCATAGGCAGGTTTCCCACGCCTGTGTGGGGAGACACTGGAAGAGTTTTCACTGGGAATCGACTGAATAATAACATCATTTATTGGGTGTATGCAATGGTTCCAGAAAAGTCTAGAGCTATATAGGGAAGGAAAGAGAATTTGTACATGGGGGGGGGCTATGGGGGGTAATTAGGAGGCATATGCTGATTCTGAAGAGCCCCAATTTCCCAATAGAAAAGTTGTATTTAAATACCTTGTTTTAAGAATTTATGCAAGTTTTGAATTATATGCCACAATATATTTTGATACGTTTTCTCAGATCCTCAAGTTACACTAATGCTTTAGGAATTTGCACTGTGATTTTCGTAGTCCTTGACACATCCGTCATGTACCCTCCCCTCTTTTCTATCTCCCTCCCCCAACCAATACATAACTACGATACTTTACCAATATTACTTTCTTTAATCCTCCTATCAATCATTAGAAGTCAGTGTTATTTCTGCTTTAGCAATGAAGAAACAGGCTGAGAGGTTAAGAAAATTGCCCAAGTTCACATAGCTAGTGAATCAGGATTCATACCCTGGCATGTAGAACTCCTTTGTTCTTGCACTTAAGAACTGCATTATTACATTTCAGGGAATGGGTTTGAGGCTGGAAATAGGAAGGAAATGTAAAGCAGAAAGGACATTTAAGAAGTTGTTGAAGTAGTCATGAGAGATGATGCTTTCAAAAGTAAGTTTTAGTAGTGATGAAGAGAAGTGAGTGGATTCAAGACTAAAGGAGGCAGAACTGACATGAGTTGGCATCTGGATTGATAATGTTGCCAGTCACTCATAAGGACTGCAGGTCAAAGAGCAGCTTCGAGGGTGAAAGGACTTAATGGATCGAGATGCCCCTGGAATATTCAAGGGTGGATGTCCTCTGAAGTATCCGGAAGAGTTCCTCATGGGATGAGAGAGAGAATTTGCTTTTCTTCTTTACATTGACTATGTACCAGTTGTTTTATGGCTCTTCTATGGGATGTCCTATGTAACTTGTTCAGATTATGGGAGATGGTGGGATGTGGACACAAGATAAACAAAATCATGGACTACTTTTGAAGCCTTTATAGTTGTTTCGAGGGTGATGTTAGTGTTTTACAGTTACATTTTATCAAATAACCAGCTTGTAGTTCAGGTAACAGGTATTACAAAGGTTCAGATAAGAAAATAGATCATGGCAGAAGTGGTCAAGTTAGTGGAACGAACTGAAGAAGTAACTATATTTTGAGATGTGAGTGGGGCATCTCAGTTTTATTCTTCTAGGTCTCAGTCACTCTCAAATATGTGATGCTCCAGAAGAGCATGTTAGAGTTTAAAAGGTATGTTCTGTGGAACTAATGAAAGCAAAGAATACAGGCTTTCTTTGATGTTTTGGTAACATTAAGCCTATGTGGATGCTTCAGTAAGGATTAAAATTATCCATATTATGACAGTTCCCTCACTCGAGTTGGACAGGTTTTTTTTCCAAGAAATACAGTTCTTTCTTTTGTTGTTTTTCCAGTCTTGTTTATATTTTGTTCTTTAGTCACTTTCAGAGGTAACATTTTTTATTGAATACTAGATGTTTCTCATAAAAGTTGTATTTTGAGAGAAGCCAGTTTAGGTTCCACTGTATATATAAAAAGAAAATGCTTTGTGTTCATTTTGTCTATCCTTTTGTGGTGCAGTTAGTGTATTTTAAATTAAAGAATTTTTTAACTGTTACACATCCAAATAGAGTCCCTAGGAACAGTCTAGTCTTTTGTCTAACAAGTTGTTT